TATAGCAAGGGAGGTTTAGGTTGGATATTAGGAAAAACTGTCTCACTAGCAGCGTGGTGAAGCACTTGAACAGGCTACCTAGAGAGGTGGTGGCATCTCCATCCTTGGAGGTTTTCAAGACCTGGCTTGACAAAGCCCTGGCTGGGAGGATCTAGTTAGGGCTGGTCCTGCTTTAAGCAGGGGTTGGACTAAGTGACCTCCTGAGGTCCTTTCCAACCCGAATTTTCTATGATTCAATGATATAGGGAATGTTATAAAGCTGCTAATACTCCAAAGCCTCTTAGGACAGGTTCTGAATTTCTAGCACAATACAAGTACTGAAAATTCAAGTTCAGGCTTTTTTATAAAGCATAAAGCCTCACAAAGGATTGCAACCCCTGTTTTAGGCTCTTGGTGAGTACTGGCCTTCAAAAAACAATATGTAGCTAACTAACTAGTACCTTACAATGGCTGCGTAATGATTGTGTGCACATATTTCCATACAGTTTCATCATCTACCCACTGGTAATCAGGTCCCGAGCATGTCCTACTGTATAATATTTTCCAATAGGTTTAATCAGCGAAGAGTTACCTGCAACTGAGTCCAATATCATCACGGGATAATGTTCTCCTGGTTCACACTGACTGACAGAATGGTCCCCAGTCTGGTTTTGTCTGGCTGAATTCCAGCATGAGGCTGCCAGTCAGCGGGAAACTCAGGAGGAGCATGGACATGGGTCCTACACTTCCCTGAGCAAGCAGGAGAGAGGGAGAAGATGAATCTGCCCAGGCATCAAGACCTGAGCAAACCCTGGATTAAAGTTGCTTGGGCAAAGCTGGGGCAGAAATTCCACCTGCTTCTTTCCATAAGGAGAAGTTTCTGCCTGGCAGTCTGGCTGGAGGCAGTCAGAAATGCTGAAGGCCCCAAAGAGGAAGCTGTGCAGACTTCTGGAGGTGCTGAAGAGGGAATATTTCTATTTTCCTGCTCCAAGCCCCCACAATACAGACATGTAGACACCAAGAACTCTACTGACCTTGTGTCAGCGAATAGCCTAAGCAATGAGCTTGTGCTAGATGGCTTGTGCTAGATCCTGTTCTTGGCCTGTATATTATGGCTTCAAGCTATTAAATAAAAATAAATTCCATTATGGTTTTCGTATTCATCAGGTCAAAAACTGTGGTCTGATCTTCAAATACCTCTATGGTGCTGGGACTGTGTATAGAAATAAGGACCAGCTGTAAAATGCAGGTCTGGATCTGGATTGGTTCTCTAAATGGGTCAGAACCATACCTTTCCTGCCCTGAAGTATGAAGGCATTCAGACGTGGGTTTCTAGTTCAAACTCCTCTTGATTAATTCCCTAAACCAAGATAAAAAGCAAGACTACATTTCCTTCCAGGTTACCTTTGGCAGATGGAATCCAGCCAGCGTTGTGTCCCTTGTTATCCTTCGGGGCACATTAAAAGGGACAATGTTGCCCATCCTTTGAATTTCATGCACAACTGCGTTGGTGTATGGCATGTTTCCATGGCTGGCAGGCGAGACTGGCCAATCACTGTGTCGATCTCTGCTTGCACTCTCTCTGTGGAAAGAGCTCTGTTTAAGTACCAGAGTGCAGTGTCTACATCTGAATGTACCAGTAAGTATAGAAAGGTATGCCTGTTAGCTTAAGAAGAGTGTCTTGGGCCTCATGCACTAGAGGCAAGAGGATTTTTTGGTGTAACTAAAGAATAAATAGAAAACCTCGATAGAGGATCAATTGCCTCTGATGCAGTAGAAGGAGAAGAAAACTGTCCCCAGTCCATGCCAGTGATGTTGCTGACAATATGGTATGAACCCCCACTTACTGAACCATCTTATCAAGCAAGGACATATAGATCAGTAGAGAGAATGCACTAGAGGCAAGAGGATTTTTTGGTGTAACTAAAGAATAAATAGAAAACCTCGATAGAGGATCAATTGCCTCTGATGCAGTAGAAGGAGAAGAAAACTGTCCCCAGTCCATGCCAGTGATGTTGCTGACAATATGGTATGAACCCCCACTTACTGAACCATCTTATCAAGCAAGGACATATAGATCAGTAGAGAGAACAATGGACCGGGAGTTGAAAGACCTGTGTTCGGGCTCTGCGTGTTGTGCAAAAGAATTGTCTTCATACACACCTCTCGAGGTCCCTTCCAGCCCTGATGTCTATGAAGTCTATGAAATCTATAATTAGAACACTACAGCATCGCCTCGCTGTCATGTGAATTAAGCCCCCATACATTTCAAAATGGCTGCAGGGACACTATTTAAACCGCATTGAATGAGCTCTATATAAAGTGCCCCATGCCCATTTTGAAATACGCAGGAGCTTAATACCCGTGATGGTGGGCCATTTTAATTAGAGCAGCTATCTGGGAACAGCTCTAATTAAACCAATCACCCCACCCCGAGCATGTATATAGGCAGCAAGAGGTATTTTCAATCCATATTCTGTCCCTGTTCAAAATATTGGTGTCAGGGCTCCCAGGGATGTTCCAAGGGAAACCTGACCATGAAGATGCTTATCCACCAGTTTTCTCTCTGAGGCAATCTCCCACATTTTCCCAGCACAGACTGGCCTTTTGTCTGCATGTACTGAAGGAGATCTGCCTGGGACAGAAGAACAAGCACGAGTAAGGGCCACATTTTAAAAACCCATGAGCAACATCACTGAAGCAGGTACATTAGACACAATGCCATCCTCTCCCTCGATCAGGCTTACTGCAGCTGTGGAGTTTTCTTCTTGCTTCTACATTAGTTGCCAAATGTTTATCAGGGAAACATTTCTGAATGGGGAAAATCTTTGGAAAGAAAGCACTTAGGCATAGGCATTTCATAGAACAGCATTCAAAATCCTACCAGAAGCCTCTGATGCTGGGATAGAACCAAAACCATTTTACCTTGAATTTCTGGATATAGGGCCATGTACAGTAGGGCCCAGCGGATGGTTGTGGAGGTTGTCTCAGTTCCAGCCAAAAAAAGATCCAGTGTAGAAAATATGAGATTGTTTTCATGGAAAGTAGAATTGGCTTCATTCTAAAGAAAATGTTTTAATTCTAATCAATTCCATATGGATGTTTATTAGTCTGCTTCCACGCTACATTGCAGGCTCAGATCTGCAAAGCAGAGGTTCAACTAATGAGTTTTTGTGCCCTGGGGGTAGTGCAGGGCTGGTCCAGTCTTATACCTATAACTGAGCAATACAGGTCTGCGATGGCAAAAGCCAGCGGGGATGGGCCCCTGTGTCGACCTCAGTGCCCAACACCCTCCTCCTTCCCCCTAGGTACACTACTGCCACAAGACGTTGCATGCAATGTTCATTGACTTCAGGGAGAGCTGCCAGCCCCCAGCATGTCCAAGAATAGAGCTTAAAACAGGGAAGACTGAGCTTCATTCTTTTGGATGAAGTTTCTGCTGATTTTAGAGCTGAGTGCTTGGTTCAAGATGGCTGTAGGCTAGAGCTGGTTTTGGGTGTGAGCCCAGAACACAGTCAATATATTTTAACACACCTTTAGGCTCTAGTTCATCAAGACACTCAAGCAAGCGCTTCTCTTTCAGCATGTGAGGAGTTATTTGGATGCCAACGGGGCCACCCTCCCACCTGAAGCTATGTGCTTAAGTGCTTGGCGGAATCAGGTCCTAAGTGTTAACTCACTGAGGGTCAGTTGCTCATGAAACTCAATTACCTTTGCGATTTCCTTCAGATAGCAGTCAATGAAGTCCCTGGGGTCTGCTGGATTCCAGTCCTCCCTGTGCTTTGCAATCTCTTCTTTTACAAAACACTTAAGTTTTTCCCAGTTTTTAAAAAGGGTGTGATGGTGTCCTGGGAGCCACTTCATTATGGTGGGAAAGGAATTATACAGCTTTGGGCACAGAGAGAGAAGAAAGGACACTTTGGTTTGAGAAAAATAGGCTAGTGCAGTATAATGTCCCCACATATATTTCCTGAAGAGAGACCTCGACATTGCAAAGAGAGAGAACTGAGACAGAGAGAGATTAAAGGTCTCAATCAAGGTCTCACAGATCATCTCTTTTAGAGCCAGGAAGTGATACCAGGCATCTCTGAACCAGGAGGCTCTGAACTAACTGCTCAGTTTATAGCATGCCATTCTTTCATCCACGTGCAAGCCGTGCATGCACTTGAGGCTGCTCTCCTCTGAACTTAGAGGTAAGTAGCAGGCAAGATAGAGGGCTGAAGTCATGGTCACTGACAATAGCCAGGGCACCAAGGCCAAGTATCTGATGGAAGGTACAATTTAGGAGCTGTAGTCACCAGCACAAGTATAGGCCATGCTGAGCGGACTATTGCTGCTTTTCAGTTAATCCTACAAAAGGCTGAGAGGCTTCTCTAGGGTATGGACCATCAGAATCAAGAACAGACTATCCAATCAGCCCTGGGTGAAGGAGGAGGAATCACCTTCTGCAGGGGAGGGTGACACATCCCAAAGAGAAACCAGAATTGAGGATCAGGCAATTTAACCCCAGGGAGGTCAAGAGAAAAAACTAGGGAACGGATAGGGAAAAGCAGAGGATTGCTTGGGGAAAAGAGCATCTGAACACCTCAATCAGGCCCAAGAGTAGGGTGCTTAGGGCCAAGAACCAGGCTGACAAACTCAAGTACAATATCAAAGGATGTTTGGCAGGGAGAGCAAAATTAAGTCTTTACACTGCCTGGAGTCAGAAATCGAACAAGGTGTACCTGGCTCCAAAAACTTCCCTCGAGCTGCCCTGTCTCATCAAGCAACCGCAGTAAACTCTGGAATTGACTGTCATCATATTCAAACCGGCTCCCAAAAGTGACAGAACAAATGATGTTGGAAACAGCATTGTTAATTTTAAAGTGAGGGTCAAAAGGATTCCCTGGAAAACACCAAAAGGGAGAGATAAGATCCTTCCAGCTTCGCGGAAAAACAAATTAAAAAGTTATTGAGAGGAGTGCAAATGTTCTTGCCAGAATATGGGCATCCTGCATACCACCCAAGTGAGCAATGTCTCTTACACGGTGACCCCAAATACTAAAAATGCTTTAAACACAGTGACTGAACAAACACCTACTTCAAGTTGGCTTTATAGCTTGTATAAGTGCATGTGTATATTTTTACACAGGTTTCCGTCTACATAAAGACTTAGGGAGGTTAATTCCATGTGTCTTCACCCTTGTCGGTAATGGAAACAATTGTAGATTGTTTCTATGTGGAAGCTGGAGGAAAGCTGACCACAAGTCAGGATGTGGGTCTATTCCTGATAGACAGAAAACCCAAACCTGGACAAATTTATGGATCCAATTCCAGGTCTTGACCTAAATCTCAGTTATTTCAGGGATTTTAAAAAAGAGCCAAATAAAGACACAATGGCTCCAGAGCACTCACATGCAATTTCATGCCCATAATAGTCACATTATTGTTCCTTAATAAAAAAAAAACTTTATAAATCATCCTTTTACCTTTCTCTTCCGCAACCGCCTCAGTGAGGTACCTGATCTCCTGCTGTATTCGTTTCTCTAAAATCTTCTTCCCCAGACCAAAATTCCTCAGAGTTGATAGGACAAATCTCCTTTGCTTTTTCCAGTTATATCCATTAGAGGTGATCACGCCTATGGTGAGAGATAATCCCTGTTATTTTGTGGTGACGTTAGGAGATTGGACAATCATAACTGTCTTACTCCCTTTGGGATTTTAATAGAGAGTCTGGTTCTCTTTCCAGAGGACGCTCTGCTCTCTTTTGGCCTCTTCTCTGTGCTCCATCACTCTCACATTGGGATTCCTGGGACATCAGTGTTGGGCTATGAAAACAAATCTACTTATATATTTACACAAACAGCCGCATATGTGGGTATACAGAACATGGGAAATATATGAAGGCCTAAATGGAACCAGGCCTGTAAATGCCTTTGAGGATCTGGGCCCAAGTTACTGAGACAGGAGTTGGTATTGTTTGTAATACTTCTGAATTTATTTATTTTTCACAATCTCTATGATAATGTTGCATGCCTCCATTTCCTTGACTTTCTCATACATGGTTATAACTTGGAAAATATTTGGGGTAACATTGCACTGAGGTTAGCCGGGGAATGAAGTTGGGTCTTTGCACTACATTCTCTGATGTATTTGGTACCCAAGAGAGACATGAAAGAAGCCCTAATGTGAAAGACTAGCTTGGAAAAGAGACTCCCAGAGACTCAAGGTGGAGAAACAAAGGCAGGACGGAGAGGAATGAGAGTTTCATGGGAGGCCACTCAAGTCTTCTTACTGACTTTTAAGCCAAACCTCTGCCTAAGATTTGGCTCAAGTGTTGTGGCAGGAAGACTCTGCCTGCAAGAGAAGAGTGAACCAATAATTGCTGTCTGTTAAGAAGGGGCTGCCTGCTGCACTGCATGCGACTTTGGGGCGCTGTCCTTCTCCTTTAG